TTTCACAAATTTGCATGCCATCCTTGTGCAAGGACCAAGCTATGCTTTCTGTTCATCATTCCAAGTTTAGTAGTGTGGGCTGTTGATAATGATTAGATTAGCAAGAGGACAGCTCACAGAAAAGGCAGTTGACAGCGATTAGGGATTTCCCAAATGACTAATCTAACCTCTGTTTAGGCTTTAACTGTTTTTGCTAGGGACTCAGGATGGCAGGCACCAGTTTGAGATTGTGTTCTTGTGCAATTAATCATGAATGAAATGCACTCCCCTAGAAAAGCACTCCCCAGAGAACAGTCTTGTTCTCTCCACTTTGTTCCCATGACTGCAATTCTTTCTGGTTCCCTCGTTACATAAGAAACCATCCTCCCCCTTCAATCGTGTGTTGCCCCTTGTGCAGTCAGTCCAAGTGGAAGGATTGTGAAACAACGGAGAACTCAGAGCTGGGGGGATGGGGAATGTGAGCTTGCAACACCCACAGTTAATCATGGAAGATTCGAGAAAGACAATGAGGGCAGAGGTAGAGAGGAATGCTGACATTGTCTGCCCAGGTGACAGTATTTGCAGTGTCCAGCAGTCCATGCTGTGAGGCTCTCTGTGGTTTACAAAGCAGATTAGGAGTCAGGCCAGTTCACACTGTCACCACACGGTTTAGTTTGTGTTCCTGTGATCAGTTTTGTTGTACTGTTGTATACAGAACTGTTTGAAAACGATTAAAAAAAAATCATTTGGAAAGGATTTGTCTAAAGCAGCGCACATTAGTTTAATTCAAAGACTTCTAAAAATAAATTTGACTTCACAGAATCCTAGCTTTCTTGTCAGGATACATATATATGAACAAAATACAGGTGCATTTATACACACACACACACACACACACACACACACACACACACACACACACACACACACACACACATATATATCTGAACATATATAAACACACATATATATGCAATAATATATATCATTGTTCAGCTTTCAGAAAGTCATGACTGTGGTAAATATTTCAGTGGATGATAGCTGCTTTGTGATTTAATCATCCACAGAAACCAAAAGGTTCTCTTTAAATGGCACCTACCTCTGTTGTTAAACCCGAGCTACAGATCAATTTTCATTAGCAAAAACTATTTAGAACACCTCGACCACTTATTTAAAAAAAAAAATGGACCCTTACTTCCAATGAAGACATATAAACAATCCTAAAGGAAATAAATTGCAAAGCATTGGAAACAATGGCTATGAAGAGCGGGCTTCTTGTTTTTTAGCAAACCTCGGTTTGCACTTCACAGCAAACATCAAGCTACAACCGTCCCGCTAAGATTACAAGAGATTAAATTTAAGGCCCCAAGCGCTTCCATATTCTGTAAACTCATCTCGGTCTGTACAATAAGATAATTTTCTCCCATTGATTCTCAATGGTTAGCATACAGCAAAACCGGGGGTGGAGGGGGGGACCCAAACCAAATTTAAAAATTCAACCAAACAAAGCTCACCTCCTGGGGAAGCTAGAGTTCTCATATACTTAATCAGACATCCCAAAGTAATTTATTCAAGCTTAAAGGGACAACTCTTTATTTGAGACATCATCTCCCTCGGTATCCCAGGCTGTCCTTGAACTCAAGGAATCCTCCTGCTTCAGCCTCTGGAGGGCTGAGATTGGAGTCCCAACCCCTCGCGCCCCCTCCCCCCTGCTGCGCGCCCGCTGGAACTCATTTTTTACTAGATTAGTTAAAGACTCATTTAAAACAGCGATGATCCAACTTGTCCTCAGACTTCTGGAATTTCTGTCCCACAAAAGACAGCTGGCAGCCAAAAGCATTTGATAGGGACAGGGCA